TCGAGGAGCCCAAGGACTGCATTCCAGGGTCCTTCCCGGTACCCCTCGGACAGCGCTGTTCAGGGACTCCTGACTTCGCTGAACTTTGTGGAAAGAGAAGCTTGCTGTGTATCAGACATCAGAGGGGACTGCCGATAAGTTGCCGACGTGAATTGCTTTTGTCTGTCATTGTTTGTCTTGTTACTACGCGTAGTCGTGTTTTTGTTAAGTCAATACATCTTTCTTACCTCTCTACCCCTGGCCATACTCTCAATCCCAAACCCTCCGCAGACAGCCGGGACATCCCCAGTAATATCAGTGTGGTCGCAGACGCTGCAGGGAATAGAGCTGGGCCGGGCTGGGGGCTGGAAACCTCCTGCCGCCTCCAGCAGCCTCACTCTCCCTTTCTGTTCCTTCCCTGTCTCTTTGGCTATAGGTTGTGGTCCTGATCCTGGGTATTTTCCAGCTCCTGGAGCCAGAGGAGCTCCCACGTGTGAATGGAAGTGAAAGCCCTGCTTGACAGAGGTATTCCCACTTGCACGTTTTTTATTTTTACAGAAAACTTGCAAAATACTCTTTGATAAAGTATGACCTCATCTGTACGAGGATAAATAATGAAGCATTTTATAAAATAGAGTCACTGCAAACATAGATAGGTTTTACCTCTCAGCCGCTCCACAGCCAGATCTCATAGGTAGGTGATATCATTCCCCAATAACACAACGTCCTTTCTTTCCTCCATTCTGACTCGTTCCCCTTCCCCTCCATCTTCCAAGCAATCCATGCCCAGGGGCACAAAGGCATGTTCATGCCCCCGGCTAGTCCCTTAAGCAGATCCTCAGCACAGAGCGGGCAGCAACTCCTTGAGGATGACGCTGCTCCAGTCATTCCCATGGGCACTTTTTCTTTTTTTAATATATTTTGTGTTCCAGATCAGATCAGCCAAATCTGTTCCAAATCACATCAATTGAGCCATGAACGCCACATGCCCCCAGAGGCTGCGTGGGGGGCGGGGGGGTGGGCATGGCGAGCTCCCGCAGGCAGCCGCCACACCGTTGCGGGCCGTGGGGACACGCAGTCAGTGCCCCCCCACAGATGCCACCGGCAGCCGTGGCCACCAACAATTGTGGATTGCCCACAGATGCTGCTGGCAGTATCAGTGGCGAGGGGGGGGTGTAGCCAGTGGCAACCACCCACAGGTGCCACTGGTAGTGTCAGCGACGCCTTTTCTCAGGGGGTGCACTGCCATGCTCGGGGGGTGCACGTGCACCTGTGTGCACCCCATACACATCACCAATGAATTGAGCAGAACTCAATCATTCCCAAAACCGTATTGATTGAGCAGGCAGACCTCAATCGCTCTAAACACGCTACAACTGGTGAGCATCCTCCATCCCAGGCTCTCACTCTGGGACTTCAGATACTCCCAAATTCATTGGCAGGCACCCTAGGTGCAGGCCCAAGCCCAGAGGTCTTGGGAATTGGATGCCCCCATTTGATCTTAGCGTGCAAGAGGCCGCAGGCACATCCTCCACCTGGGGCAGATCTCCAGGGGCTGCCAGATCAAAGGCTCTCAGGGCAATGTGTGCAGAGAGACCCTGCCCTGCCCATCCCCAGTCCTTCCCCAAAGTCTCCGTCCATCACCTGAAGTGGCGTCAGCAGACCCCGGGGCTGCCTTAGGGGGATGGTTGCAGCTGCTGGAGAAAGTCCCCCCTTGGGCTGGGTACCAGGAGCTTTCACGGGGGCGGCCGCAGCTGATAGATCAGATTCCTGAAACAACATTTGACTCTGGAAGCTCAACCCCCAAAATGAGAGGGGGCAGAGCCGCCGTCCCTCCCTGAGCTTCAGTCAGAGTCCTCTGGTGTAGGCAAAATGAATAAACCAGACATAGGGCTCCAAGGAAAAGCAGGCCCTGCTGCTATTCAGAGAGGTATAGGCCTGTGTTTCATTGCCTTCGAGTTACGGATTATTAATATCTGACTTATCTGCATTCTGAAATAAAAGAAAAAAATCGCATTGTCTTATTCCATATAACTCGAACAAGTAGGCTAGCCTGAATTATAATGCTTTCAGTAGAGGAGGCCTGCAATAACATTTGCAGTGATACAATCTGTGAGGTTTTAGGATTAGAGTTTTGTTTACTACATTGTTTTAGTGACAGTGAGTTGATACATGCGTGCTAATGTGTCAGCCATCTGGGTCCGATGGTTTTCCACCAGCAGCTCCGCTGTACAGCCAGAGCCCTGCATATGAGGGCTCAGGCGCTGGGGGAAAGGCTTCAGGCAGGTCCAGGTATAGCAGCTTCCTTTCAAATGGGAAAGTGAAGCAATGCCCTAAACCAGGGGTGTCAACAGGGGTGCTGCGGGGTGGTCCTCAGTCAGACTGGATCGCAGACTGCCCTGCACTCGGAGCTAGTGCAGCGCGGCGATGCAGGCAGCACGCACTTCGGACTAGACCTGAGTGCCCCTGGCAGCACGTGCCACACACCAGCTCTGAACACAACCGGAGCAGGTGCCCCGACCTAGCCCCACGTATGGCTTGAAGTGCGCACCACATCGTTCCCATACTCTCCATACAGTGTGCAGGGGCCAGTGCAGTGCGCTCCACAGCCGTGCACAGCTCCAATCCATGACCCTGGGCAGCAGCAGGGCAGGATGATGGGGCTCCCTGGGGGCAGCAGCAGGGCAGGATGATGGGGCTCCCCGCGCTGGATCCAGCCTTCAAGTCGTATCTTTGACACCCCTGCGCTTTGTTAAATCATTGCACTCCTTTAGACGTTTCCTGGATAGAGCTGGGGAGGGAACCGAGGGCCCCAACCGTCTGCCTGTTTCCAACCTGCCCATGGACTAAGCTCCCTTAAGGCCTCTCTTCTGCCCCTCTTGAAGTATTTAGTCAACTACCTCTCCCAAGCGCAGAGTCTGCCTGGCCTTTGCAGTCACCCTCCCCTTCCACCCCTCTTACTCTCCTCTTCAAGGTGGCCCCATATCATGCTCAGCCCCCTGCTGCCCTCCTCTTACTCCTTAACTGAACCATCAGCAGACCAGGCTTTTGCGACCAGGTCCAACTGCTCCTAGCAGGAAAGGACTTGACCTGCAGTGAGATCCCACACACAGAGAATGGAGAAGACCTCAAGAAAGTCGAACAAGCAGCCAGCCCCCTGGCACAGAGCGCAGTCACAACCACCCCTCACCTCTCGGACGGCTGCTGAGAAGAAAGCAGAGGGCCTCCTCGACCAGTTCTGGGCCAGCAGGGGCCTGCAGGATTGCCTCATACAACTGGCAGACGAAAACCTGTAGTAGCCAAAATAAAATGACCGATGAGGAGTAAAAAGGGCTAGGCTTGAGCTAAAGGGCCCCGGAAGTCCTCTGCACGGGGCTTGTTCCAAGCTGTTGGGACAGAAACGGTCTCATGAAACAGGATTCACTTTCTGATGGCTCCAGGTGCTGGGCAGGGTGGGTCACACATGTGCCCATTATTTCTTGTCCTCCCCTGGGGGTCTTGGTGAACGGATGCTCCCCCAGGCCCTGACGGATGCCCCGATACACTTATAGACTGCCACCAAGTCCCCTCTAAGTCTTCTCTTCTCCAGGCTGAACAGTCCCAAGTCTTTCAGCCTCTCCTTGTATGACCTGCTCTCCAGGCCTCGAGTCATGCACGTGCCCCTCCTTTGGACTCTCCTGAGTTTCTCCGCATCCTTCCCGAAGCGCGGCACCCAGACTTGGATGCAGTACTCCAGTTGCGGTCTCACCAAGGCTGAGTAGAGCGGGAGGATGACATCCTTAGCCTTGCTCGCGATGCCTCGGTAGATGCATGCCAGTGTCTGATTAGCTCTGCCGGCTACGGCATCGTATTGGTGGCTCATGTTCATTTTATTGTCCATCACGACACCCAGGTCTCGTTCAGTTGTGGTGCTGGCAAGCATAGCACTGCTGAGCCTGTAAGTGTGTTGTGGATTATTTCTCCCAAGATAGAGCACTTCCCTTTTCTCTTACTTCTCTGCACCGGGGGCAGGAGAAGGCCTGCTTGACTCGCTCGGAGAACTGGCAGACCCAGCCCAGGCAGGATCTGTGCCCGCCGTGCTCCTGGCAGATGGATCAAGTGGTTTCTTCTTGAAGCCTCTCTACAAGACTACATTTGGCCACATCCCCTGCAGAGCTCAGGAAGACCGCCTCCATCGGCTCTTCCCCCAGTGCCTCATGACCAGCTGTCACACAAACAAGCTTCTTTCTGCTGAAGGACAATGTCCAAGCGTGAAGCGCCAAAGGTCACTGGGCTGAAGCTATACTCTGTGCACGGAAATGTTAGCCAGGCCCGAGCGCTGGGGAACAGGGTACAAGGCCCTTTAGAGTACATTGATTTGTTTCCTGTGATAGCAATGATATTGTGTAAGTGTTGACGGTGTGGCGGGGGGCACAGCTCTGCACCACCGCCCCACTGCTGCTGCCACTGACTCCAGCCAGGCTGCAGCCCTGCACCCACCATCAGCACAGAGATCTTGCGGGGGGGGGGCATGTATCCCCCCATGTATCATCTGTGCTGATAGCAGGAACAAAATCAGCCTGGGGAAGGGCCAACTTTGTGGCCCCGGGGCAAAATGTCATGTCAGGAGGTGGTCTTAGCTCTGGTTATATGAAGCAGGGCTGCTCTGCATATCATGGGAGACTTATTTAACTAAACCTGTGCACAAAGGCTGACAGTTTTGGCCTCAAACAGGACTGAATTCCACCTGCTGTGCCCATCTGGAGCAAGTTAAAACTAGGCAACGACCCACTGCTCATCCCTGGAGGGCCCAGAGACAGTTCTCACATGAGACAGGATCCTGAGCGCAGGAAGGAGAGAGCCTGTAGGCTGGGGGCCGCATGCAGCAAATCCAAGTACATGACCGTGGGGGCCCTTCTCCTGCACTGACAGTCCAGCTGGCCTGGGCAGCCAGTCCCACTACAAAAATCCCAGCACTTCCAACAGAAGTGACTCCATTCCCCCATGTGAGCAATATCCCCTGAATCAGCCCAGAGCTGAAGATGTGCCAGGGAAATCTGTGCCAGAGATCGATCCTACTGCTGGATTCAAGCAGAATTCAGGCTGGCTCCTGGTCGCCATGTCGGCCCCTCGCAGGAAGCAGGTACGGGGCGCTGGGGAGACAACACAGAACGATTTAGTACCTTTTGTGCATGTGCAGGGCTGAGGCATGCTGCATGGGGGCAGTGGGAGGGAGCCCCCTTTCCTGCTCCCGGCTGGGAAACTCCGGGTGCTGGTCACTACAGACAGAGCTGCACGTGACTGTTAGGTCCCTGCTTCCCCCGGCCTGCACGCCAGCCCAGAAGGCTGGAGCATGCGAGCCCAAAGGGGAGGCTGGTGGGAGGTTGGGGGCTGGACCTGCACTGCCACCCACTCCTAGGGGGCTCGACCTATTCAGAAAGAGCCAAAGGAGCCACTCCACCCTGGGCAGGGGAGATGCTGGCTGTCCAGGCAGGCGACACCCCCACCCCTCCACGTCAGCTCTGGGGAGCACCAGGGTGCAGCAGCATCCTGCAAAGCCAGCGGCACAGCCTGCACCCCCTCGCACCCTCCTGCTCTTGTTCTGGACTGTTACCTGGCTAGGAGTGGGCTGAGCTCACCTGGCCCCATTCATCTCCATGACAGTCAGGGATCATTGTGGACCCCCAGGATTAGAAGAGATCCTCTCTGTTTGATTACACACTTCCAAATGCCTCTGTGCAGGCACCAGGTCTCCCCCAGGGCTGGCCTGGATTTGCAGAGCCTGCACTTGTAACTGAGGCACCAGGCCCTGTTCTGCCAGGCCCATTGCTAAGTTAGGGACTCATGGGCCATTGCAGCTCACAATGACCTCCCATGCCATTTTCACACCCTCTGCATTAAGGTCAAAACCACTGTCTGGGCAGATGGGCAAACACAAGCCCCAGGTTTCCAGTGCTGATCATACGACTGCAAGCAGAAAGTGCCAGCAGTCCTCCTGGGAGACACCCACAAATGCTGTAATCATGAACTCCCTGTTGCATCCCTCAGGATGGGGCTTCTTTAGTTATCTCCTTCCACTTCCCCGCATTTTTAAGCTTTGCACCTGATGTGCACTGGCCATTTGGGTACTGCAGTGCTCTCAGGTGGCTGCTTCGTGTTGTTGAACTTTGACAAGGAGAGCATTTTTCCAAATGCCAAATGCATAGTCAGCTCTGGCGTTGATTCTCGACCCCGGTATAAGGCCTGGTAGATGATAAACTGATGCCTGCCTGCCTGCCTGTCTGTTGAATGGCAGTAGGGCTGGGAGTGCTGTGGTAGCAATGATGGCCCTTGCTTCTTGTTCATTGAACTGCCAGTCTGCTGTGATCAGGCAGTGGCTTAGGAGATTTTCTTTTAGGCAACAGGCATGTAGGCTAATTTCTCCAGAGCTCTAATCCTCAGAAAATATAGTTACAAGGATTGGATTAGGAAAGAGCTGGGCCAGCATAGTGCTGTGATCTTTCTTCATAGATGTATGACCATGCATTTGACTTTACTAACTTATGATTGAAGGGGCTCAGCTTTTCAAGAGATCTGGGTTGTATGACTGTCCTGTCCTCTTCCTTCTTTACCTTCTAATATTCATGTCACAGCTTCTGGGGTGGAGCAACTGTCTGCACAGGTCCCTCATGCCTGGAGCTGAGATGCAGCCCTTTCTGCGGAGGGGAGAGGTAGTTGTACAGGGGTCCTACGCTGGATGCTAGAGGCTTTCACCCTGTCCCCCCATGCAGGAAGCACTGGGGGAGCTGCTGAGCCGCAGGGGAATCTAGGCTGGATATGCAGCAAAGACCAGCGCCTTCTGGCTGGACTGGCTGCTCCCAGCACAAAGGGAAAGGAGAGGACAAGGCATGTGGGCAGACAGAGGTACAAATGGTTTGGTTGAAAGTGCTGAGAGCAGCGCGGGAAATGGGGATGAGGTGCTGCAGAGTCAAAGACTCCTTAGCATTGGCTCCAAGACAGCACGGGGAAGTCGGGGACGGGAGGTCTTGACACGGAGGCACCGGTGTCTGGGCCAGTGGAGGTGGTTCTCTGGCACAGTCATGGTGTAGTTATCGTCTTTTTAATCATACAGTATGCACCTGTTTCTTCAAAATCAGCCCCTCAAAACTGGGGTGCATGAATTAAATGGGGAAACTGATAGTTTTGCCCAGCGTAGACGTACCCTGCTTGGATTATGCTCCACAGGGCCACAGCTGTTGCATTACTATTCAGGAGCGGGCTTAATGGCTCATTGTTCTTCACCCCAGAGGTGTTAACAGTGCTCTCTCCTTTTTAATAGTCACTAATCAAACTAACCTGTCTGAGGGCAATTTTGCAGTCTGCTAGCTGCTGCAGGTCTCTCTCTTCCTATTTCACAGCCTTGGAGACGCTTTAGCTCTTTTCAGAATTATAGATCCATCCCCAGAGACTAGTTCTCAGCAACAGCGAGGGTTTGAGCTGCAGTTAAGCAGGAAAGGGAGGGTGAGTCAATTGAAGTGAGTCTGTCCTTGCTCTATGCTGTCATAACAGGGAGCCCAGGCTGCTCTGTGCTGCAGCCTATGCCGGGTCTGCACCGAACGTATCTGCGTGTGGGCTCCTACCCTGAGTCTGCTCTTCCTTTCCTCCCCAGCTCATGCCTCTCCCTGCTCTCTCCTGCCTGGCTCTGCTCTCCATGGCTGGTGCAGTGGGTCCAGGGGAGCTGTGTCAGATCAAGATGAACCCGATCAAAGACCGTAATCAGGCCAACTGCACCAGGCTGGGGCTCAGCAGGGTGCCCTCCCAGCTGCCCAAAGACACCGGCATCCTGCTGCTTGGTTGCAACCACCTGGTGTCCGTCTCCACCAGCTCCTTCCAGTACCTCCCTATGCTGGTCGACCTGGACTTGTCACACAATGGCTTGAAGGCGTTCCACGCTGTGCCAGCCCTGCCCCGACTTCAGGAGCTCGTCCTGTCTCACAATGCTCTGGGAGCCTTGCCCTCGCTGCAGGGCCTGCCTGCCCTTCTCCACCTGGGCCTGGCTCACAACAGCATCCAGGACCTTGCTCCGGGGGCCTTCCGATCCCTGGGGGAATTGCAGGAGCTGGATCTGCGGGGAAACCAGCTCAGGAGGCTGCCCAAGGAGGCCTTTGCAGGGCTGGCTGTGCTGCGAAACCTGGACCTGTCCAACAACCCCCGGGAGGAGCTGCCTCTGGGGCTGCTGTCTGAGCTGGAGGCATTGGAGGTCCTAAGGCTGTTGGGAAACTGTCTCCCTTTCCAGCGGATCGGATCTTTCCCTATGTCTTCCTGGACAAGAACCCCTGGCACTGCAACTGCAGCCTGGCCTACCTGCGGGACTGGATCACCGAGAACGAGGCCAGCATCTACTATCAGGAGGACGGGCTGGAGAAGGTCATGGTGGAGAATGATGCAGAAAGTGTCAGATGCGACTCACCCGCCCAGTACAGAGGGACCCCAGTCCTCTACTTCACACAGTCATGCCGCAAGGTGGGGAACGGAGATGCATACGTGCCTGAGACACGGCCAGACGACCTGCCCGTGCTCCCCACTCGTGTCCCCTCCACCACCATGGCCACAGCCAGTTCAAGATGTGATGGCTTCTTATTGTTTTGGATATGGTGTATTTAAACTACACAGGAAGCAAGACAACGACACTCACCTGCCAGATGCTCACCGGAGCGAGTCGTGGAGTGCTGAGGACAGGAAGAAGTTAAAAGTCCTGCTTTAATGAGTAAATAAAGAGTGAAGCAAGATGTACCTTGTATTAAAAGCAGTGTGTCATTTCAGCATGTGGCAGTGCATAGGAGAGACCCGGGAACTGCTCTGAGCTACTGGTAGACAGGCTGCACCTACCTGAACCAGCAAGGGACTCTTCACATTTATCACAGTTAAGAATTTCTTTAGTATGGAAGGGGAGGCGGGATGTCTTAAATACAATATTGAATTCAGTCTTCTCCAGCAGCTCAGTGCAGTGTTTCAGCCAGAAAACGATGTGTCTTGCTGAATCTGGGTCACGGGCTTTGTAAACCAGAGGCCGGAGAGGGACCATCAGACACGAACCCCAGCCCTTTGGCACCCATGCCCCGGATGGGCAGTGCCTGCAGGTAGTAACTTCGATGCCCTCTGTCCTGGGGACTCCGCCGTCCGTGCTCTGGCACTGCAGCTCTCCCTTTTTTAACCCCAGTTCCTGCCTCCAGGCTCTGATGTCAACCAGCTGCTCATCTCCATCCCTTGCTGCTGCACGCACTCGGATCTGCCCGCCCACCTCCCTTCAGCCCCAGGTGGAGTAGGGAGCAGGTCCTGGTGCGCAGTCCAGGCAGAGCAAGAGCAGCAGCTGCAGTGGGTTGGGTGGGAGGTGATACGGTGTGTTCCCAGATTGCCCCATTGCACGGGGACAGCAGTCACAGACTGTGATGGAGACCAGCGTGGGACCCTGCAATGGCCCATCCCTCCAGGACTGAAGTTGCCGAGCTGCTTTTGACTCACCCAGTAACAGTCCCTGATGCAAATGCTAAAAAAGAGCAGACTCCAAGAAGTCACTTTGGAGGAGTCTTCCCTGATGGTGTCCCCATGGGCAGCCCCTTCCCTGAGCAGCTCTGCACTCTTAGACCCGCGGGAAGCAGAGATGGGTGCAGAAGGGCCACGCGTGCAGAGAATCCCCGTCCGTCCCCAGCACTTTCCCTGATGGAGTCGGCACCGGGGTTGGTGTTGTCAGAGCACAGGGCTGCCCCGGGGGCTGGCTCCAGCCACGGGACAAGTCCCTATTTGGGTAAAGTACAGAGGGGCTATAATGAAGGTCTCTCTTGGCAAAGACTCACCGGAGAAGCAGCAGTTGTTCAACCTCAGCAGCGGTGTCTGACTAGGTGGCATGTCCTCCTTCCGCTCACCAAGGTGAATACCCCTCTCCTTCATATATTCATAGATGACCTCAGTGGGCCATCTAGTCCGACCCCCTGCCCCTGGCAGGCAAGAAAAGGGCCACCAACCTGGGGTCACGTGATCCCAGCCAGGTGACACGGCTGTCCAGTCTCCTCTTGAAGCCCCCCAAGGATGGGGCGAGCACCACCTCCCTTGGGAGCCCATTCCAGATCCTGGCAACCCTGACCATGAAGAACGTTTTTCTAATGTCCAGTCTAAACCTACTCTCCAGTAGCTCATGGCCATTGCTCCTTGTTGTCCCAGGGGGTGCCCTGGGAAACAGATCATCGCCCACTTCGGGTTGCTCTCCCCTTATGAATTTGTACGCCACCACAAGGTCCCCTCTCAGCCTTCTCTTGGAGAGGCTGAAGAGGTTGAGGTCCCTTAGCCTTTCCTCGTAGGGCTTTCCCTGCAGGCCTCCAATCAGAGGAGTGGCTCTTCTTTGGACCCTCTCCAGGTTGTCCGCATCCCGCTTGAACTGCGGCGTCCAGAACTGGACATGGTAGTCCAGCTGCGGTCTGACCAGTGCCGCATAGAGGGGGAGGATCACCTCTCTGGACCTGCTTGTGAAGCACCTACAGATGCACGACAAGGTGCGATTGGCTCTGCCGACTACGTCTTCACATTGACGACCCTTGTTCATCCTGGAGTCAACAGTGACACCAAAATCCCTTTCTGCCTCAGTGGTGCTGAGAAGGTCGCCCCCCAGCCTATAGGTATGATGGCAGGTTTTTCTCCCTAGATGCAGCACCTTGCACTTGTCCTTATTGAATTGCATCCTGTTGCTCTCTGCCCACTTCCCCAGCCTGTCGAGGTCAGCCTGGCTCTGGTTCCTCCTCTCCAGGGTGTTAGCTTCACCCCATATTTTTGTGTCATCCGTGAATTTGGACAGGGTGCTTCCCACCCCCTTGTCCAGATCACTGATGTAGATGTTGAACAGCCCCAGCCCCAGCCCCAGGACTGAGTCCTGAGGGTCTCCACTGCCCATCTTTCCAGGCTGACATCGACCCGTCCACCACCACCCTCTGAGTGCGACCCCTGAGCCAGTTTGCTACCCAGTCTACCGTATATCATCCATGGCAAATCTCCTCAATTTATTTCTATGGATGGTATGGGATACCGTGTCAAAGGCCTTCTTGAAGTCCAGATAGATAACATCCACCTCGATTCCTGCATCTCAACATTTGGTGGCCTTGTTGTAAAAAGCAACTCGGTTAGTCAGGCAGGACCTGCCTGCTATAAACCCATGTTGGTTGCCCCTCCGCATCACATTAGCAGCGGGCTCCCACAGATGTGCTCCTTGATAATTTTTTCTAGGATTTCCCTGGGATAGAGGTAAGGCTGACTGGTCTATAGTTCCCCGGATCCTCCTTCCTTCCCTTTTTAAAGATTGGGATGGCACTGGCCCTCTTCCAATCCTCCGGGACCTGACCCGAGCACCATGAGTGCTCATATATCCTTGCTAGTGGTTCGGCTATGACCCCCGCTAATTCCTTCATTACCCGTGGGTGGAGTCCCTCTGGTCCCAGTGATTTGAACACGTGCAGCAAAGACAAAAACCTAATGAAACTCCTTTACTTCTGCTCCACCCAGAGACAGAAATATGGATCTAGAGAGCTCCAGATGGGGCAATTGTCATCTTCCTTGCTAGGATGACAGTGGGGAGCCAGGGAGGGGACACTGTGGGAGAGGGCTCCGGGACAGGGAGAGCAGGGCTACCTGAGAGCCCCAGGAAAGGTCAAGAACTCACATGAACTGAACAGAAAGGCAGGTCCCATCGCACAGCAGGGCATTGCCTTGCCCCTCCAGCAGACAGATCAAGTGCAGAGCTGCTCCCAGCCCAGCGGTCACCCAGGTACACGCTATTGCACCTGGTCCACAGAGGGCAAGGTACTCCTTCACTGAATAGGAGACTCCGGTTATACACTTGCTCCCCTCCACCCCTTCATGTGAAGGTTTAAAACTGCATCTCCCTTTTGCAGCAAAGTGCTCTAACTGCCAGGCTGGACAGCCAACAAGAGGGAGCAATAAGGAGCTAGGAAGCGGAGTGCAAGCCAGTGGGTGAGAAGGGAAGCACAAGCGCATGGGAGAAGTGTGTCCTGACCCCCTGGGAGGCACTGTCCTCCTTCAGTGTGCTGCTGCTCTGGAGATGCCTCTGCGTCTCCTTTTGACTGAGTAATGAGGAGATGGGCCTCGAGGTGAAGAGGAAGACAAGGGGCAAGAGCTGGTTGGTAAAGGGTGAGTGCACTGGGCAAACAATTCCTTGAGAAAGGAGCTTTCTGTTCCCTTTGATCACTTGCCATGTGAAGACTTTTGTTTTTAGGGGAAAAGGACATTTCCAGTTTTTGGTGAAAGACCATTGGTTTGGGTGGGAAACCCTCCCTTCCCTCACATGTGTGCTTGGCCCTGAGATTGGCACAAGAAGCAAGGGAGAGTTTCCATTTTTATATAGAAAATCATAAGGCTCCACTTTTATATGGAAAATCACATGGGTTGGGGGTCACCAGCCAGTGGGAGTGAACAGGTAACAAGTAAATAAGCATTAACACTGTGGCAGCAGCTGGTCATTTGGGGGACAGTTAATCCTGCAACCCTGATAGCTACAGCACTGTCCTTCACAGCGGTGTGCACTGCCGATGATGCCGTGATTCTCATCCTTTGGAGGACCGGACCGGGGCTCTGACTGCTCTGGGTAATGCTGAAGTGCAGCAAGGTGGGGAAGGAAGATGAGTGAAATGGGAGAAGCATCACGGACACAAAGGAAGAAGAGCTTGAAGAACAGCTATTGCTCAAAGCAAGAAAATAGGGTGAGTGGGGAAAAGAGCAGCACTGGAGAACAGGACAGTACACGCCCAGGAAGCTGCGACAGCGGATGTTGGCACCATCTTCTTCAGGGAAGAAACAACCTGGGAAGTGCATGAAGAAGCCGTGTGAATAAATGCCCCTCAAGGAGCAGATGTGGGTGCTCCAGGCCACATCCTGTTCCACCTGTTAGGTGCATCAATGCAATTCTAGTTCACCCTCCACAAGTCCAAGGAAACCAGCTAGAGACAAAGGTGGAAGGTCCTTCACTCGCCAGTGCTCCCATCGCCCCACCCAGCCACACCCAAGAGGCCGAGGGCCTTCTACTCAAAAGAAGGGAATCGTGACCATAGACCTGGACTGATCCAGAACTACACCCAAGAGGCCGAAGGCCTTCTACTCAAAAGAAGGGAATCATGACCATAGACCTGGACTGATCCAGAACCGATCCAGAACTGCTCCCTGGACTGGTCCCTGTTCAGGGTGGAAGCAAGCCTCCAGCAGACCTTGCTGCTTGGGATCCACTGCACAGACACTTGTCACCAGCCAGGGTGGCTGGTTGTTCTCCATTAGGCCAGTGATTCTCAGCTTGGCTGCCACGCCACTTCCCCCTTGCCCAGGTCTTGTGCCTACCCTGGCATCCCATGGGCTACCAGCACCTGTAGCTGCTCCCTGGGGACTCTTGTATCTAGTCTGATGACAATGATACATCAAATAGATTTAGATGGCATACTTAGCTCTGTGCATGTTTAAACATGCAGGCATGGATCTGCAAAAGTGTTTAGGATGCCCTCCCATCCCTGGCAACCTCCACACTCTGATCAGTGTGCTCTCAGTAGCATAACTGCATGGTGGGAAGGAGGAGGAATGGGGGAGAACCAGGGAAGCAGCCCCAACTGCTGACTTTGTTGGGGGCACACAGCTTTGTTGCTTCAGCACCAGCTGAGCATGCTGCCACAACCAGCGCAGCAGGAACTAGCGCTGCCCCAGGTGTGGAGCTGTGCTGCTATGCCTCTGGTTCAGGAACAGGCCACAAAGCAGGGCTGGGGCACACTAAGTGGTACAGCCTTCTCGCACGGGAACGTTTGTGACCAGGGTTCACTTGTGGCTGACGCTCCTGAAGAGATGGGTCAGGACTTGCCCATGTTACTAACCGGCCACCTCCAACTCCAGCACAGCTTCTCCATCAAATGCAGGTGACCGAAAGAAGCAGACAAACTGCCCCTCATCAGAAGGGGTGATGTTGCGTATCCTCAAGGAGACCTTCCCCTCTGTGATATTGCCCTTCAGCAGCTCCGTCCCGCCCCGATACTGTGCAATCTGCTTGTCTGGCTGATCTCTTCCGCCCCGGTAGAGATGGACGACTTCAGAGTACCTGAACCGGAACCAGAGCGCCTCCATCTCTGCTGCACTGACACTGGGGGAG